TTATCTATATGAAACAACTCTTAGTTTTGCTCTAGCAAAAGTTTGCAACAGGCCCATTCCGCATCAGATAAGATTTAGTTTGATCTCATATGGCCAGATCAAGCATTGTATGATTGGAAAATGACATTTGATCACGAGGTACGCATTTCTGCAATTATTAGCGTTTCGAACCTGCTCTTGATCATTAAGATTAAAAATAGAGTTTATTCATACTTAAAACTTGTTTAGAAGCATTTGTTGATCCAAAACCGTGAGTCACCTAAAAATGAATCGGAGAATTGGCTTCCTCGAGTAACTTTTACACTATAGGTATGAAAGACAGCGCGTAGTCTCAAGAATATATCATCTCTACGTGGACCCTCTCTTTTTTTACATAAAACTAACAAACTAAACAAAATCTTATTATTTAATAATCAAAATCTTATTCTTCAGGAATTTTTAAAAATCATGGCTCGATTGAAGACTCCATATTATGAATATCTTGGGTCAACATCATTGTACAGGGCACATAGGACACAAAAGAGCGCCTTCAACCCACTCCGTAATCTAAATGTAAAATTCTGATACCACTATTCGTGCGTCACGACAGTCATTTTGCATAGCCGGCTATCTGAAGGCAAATAATTGGCCCAGGCAACAGGGCACGAATTTCAGCAATGTGAAAATAGGGTACTTTGAGTACTTAATCGCTTAAAAAAAGGTTTCAACATTGCAGTATTGTGTATTTATCATTACAGCTCATTTTCTAATTTCTTACCTCTATGCTTTTTTCTTTTCTCAAAATAGTTTTAATTTCTCTTTCAGACAGCTCTGCCGTCTTAAGGAAGAACGCCGTAAGAGCATTCGAGAGTTGTCAAATTTCCCCGAATGAAACGTGTATTTTTGAAGAAATTTGTGCGTATTTTTCCTTAAAACTTTCCGATATATATTCTAGATTAAATTGGGAACAAAAGTGTCTGAAAAATTAGACAAATATTAGAATTTCCCCAGTAAACTCGTTGGTTATTAAAGGAAATATGGCAACGCCTGAAGGCTCATACGGCATTTTTCCTTAGCACGGCAGAGTTCCAGACCTAAGTATAAAGAATCTCTCTGATATCTAAGAAATATTTTTTTTATTGTTACAGGTAAAATGGAGCCGCACGTTTTATCCAGAATTCTACCTCAGGGAAAAGACACCATTCATCGAGCTTGTAAAAAATGCGGCTACGCAGGTCACCTCACGTATCAGTGCAGGAATTTTATCAAAATCGATCCCAACGAAGAAATCGTTTTGGACGTCAGTAGCACCAGCAGCAGCAGTGAGGAAGACGATTACACAACTCCTTTAACTGATCTGCGGAAGAAGGAGTTGGAAGAGAAATTGAAGAAGGTAGAAAAGAAAGCGAAGAAGAAGAAGAAAAAGAAGGAGAAGAAAAAGAAGAAGAAGGTTTCCAGTGAGGATTCGGACAGCAGCTCTGATGGAGAAAGTAGGAGGTCTAAAAAATCGAAGAAGCGGAAGAAACGTAGGAAAGCTTCGTCAGATTCCTCCGCGAGCGACTCTGAATCATCTGATGGTGGAAAGAGGAAGCGGAAGCATTCCAAATCTCAGAAGAAGAAGAAGAGGAAGAGGCACCACCACTCTGATAGCTCCGATTCGTAGGACCGCACGGTTAGTGCTTCGACAACTTTTACACTCCTCTCGTTGTAAGGAAAAATTCCATGCGTTATCCAGAATTATTGAGGAAAAAGTATGAAGGTCAGTGAGTGAATCATTCAGTATACAAGGTTGCCACAGGCAGCAGGGTGTCTACAAGTCTGGAATTTCCGGAAAGTCCGGATATAGTACTGATTTTTTAAGGGCGGTCCGGAAGTACTGAAAAAGTGCGGAAAATCTTCAAAAAGGTCCGGAATTTTTTAAATTTTTTGTCATTTTTGCCGAAATATCAAATTTTTGGCATTGTTCGAATTTCGTCAAATGGAGGTACTGAAAAAGTGCGGATTTTTTCTGTTGGAGGAGGTACTGAATTTCTTGAGAATGTACTGAAAAAGTACTGTAAAAGTACTTATTTTTGACCAGCTTGTTTTAGTAGACACCCTGAGTCAGGGAATACCGGGAAAACGGGGAAATGTTAGGGAAAATTACGAAAATGTTAGGGTAAACCAGGAAATGCCAGAGAAAATTAAGAATATGTCAGGAAAAATTCGTTAAATCGCCTTTATTTGCTTTCTAGAATAAGATCGAGGTTTCGAACAACTTTTGCCTGAAAACTATTTTCAATTTTGTCTTCTTAACCATTTGTCATTTTTTCAATTTTCTGGGAATTTCACCAAAATATGTCCGCGAAATCAGGGAAATGTCAGGGAATTTCATTTTATAAATTCCGTGGCAACCCTGTGCATTCCAATCAAATCCTTGAGTAAAGGTTTACGCACGGAATACTAAAAAAATCCGGCTGAATGGGTCTGTTGCAAGCAAGAGATACAGCCTAATAAATTATGTACTCTCTACGGACAAAATCGCACGAAAACTTCGACGACTTTTTCGACGTGTCCGTTGGACACGTCGAAAAAGTTCGAAATCTACTCCTTAACGCACAATCTGCATAGCTATAACAAGTTCTTTCAAGTTGACCGTGTTTCCGGGCAGTTTTCCTCTGTCACCGTCGCGCGGACCAGATTTGAAAAGGCATGGGGGAGTAAGAGAAACTAACCTGAGTGAAAAAACGATTTCACCAACTTTATCTGCTGTATTATTTCCACCGTTTTGAAGCGATCGCCTCCTTTATCCTCCTTAGTTAAACGTGACAAGCGCACAGGCGGCTACAAACCTAACAGGAATACTTCACGCATTACGCAACGTGTGAAGTATCCTGTTAGGTTTGTAGGCGCCAGCGCGCGTTCCGCGCTGGCAGCACGCGCGCCGCTGCAGTTTCTGTTAGTTTCCGCCGACCAGGTTGGCATAGGCAGAGGAGTGAGAAAGAACTACGGAAATATACAAAAGATTGACTGACTTGTTCCTTTGTATGATGTCATTTGTATTCAAGCGATTGTTTCTTTTTCCTTTCTTTATTTTGCAAAAACGAAAGCTTTGAGTCAATTGTAATCTTCTGCAAGGAGGGTTTATAAAAGTTTGCAATTTTGTTCGTTTAGGTAAGTAAGGTGTCTTTCCGGTCAAACCTGACCGATGGCCACCAAGGAAAAGTGCCCGCATACGTGGTATATTTTAAAAAAGGGTGTTACAATACAAACTACGCAGAATGCGCACTAAGGCGTGGATTTCAGACTTTTTCGATTTGTTCAACGTGATTTTTGGGCGAATTTATCTTTAAAAAAAAAATATATACAGTTGGCTGTATCTCTCGCGTGCAACAGACCCATTTCGAGACTTTTTAATATAATGTTCCTTACGATCTCCTAAGTAAAATGCACTTTTAAAATCGAACTTCCTATGTGCCAATCTTCAAAACTCGAGTTTGAAGAGTGCTTTTTTCGCACTAAAATTTAACGCGTGTTACTTTACGAAGAAGTGTCACTGTCGCTGAGTAAAAAATGTGAATCCTTTTGTTCCGAACTGAGTGTTTTCTCCCCGGCCGGCACGAGATGAAAAAAGAAATTTTCGCTCCTCGATCAAATACATTTTTCCACTGGACATTCAGGCATTACTGCCGAAAAATGCAATTTTCAGACCCGATTTTCTCGCGATTGGCACTTAAAAAGATCGATTTTAAAAGCTCATCTGGCTTAGGAGATCGTAAGGAGCATCTTATCAAAAAATCTCGATAAGGCAGCGCCGCGTTTTTTAATATCCCGAGCCTTTTCTTAATATTCCGTCCTTTTTGTTGTTGGTGGCATACGTCACTTTAGACTTCGACTGAATCATAATTGATTAATAAAAAGCTCATTAGAAATATTCTGGCGTAAGAAATAAAATGCCAAGATCAGGATAAAGACATTGTAATAACCCGGAATCGCACGCTGAATGTAGGAGTGAATGTGGAGGCCACGGGCAAAGTTCAGGACTCCGATGAGGATCAGCGCTCAGTACTGCCGTGCTAAGGAAAAACGCTGTATGAACATTCGAAAGTTGCCGAATTTCCTATGATAAAATGTTTATTTTTGAGGAAATCCATGAATATTTTTCAGAGAAATTTTCAGAACCTTTAGGCGAAATTGCGAACAAAATTATATTAAAAATTGAAAGAAAAATATTGAAAAAATTTCCCGAGAATTCGTGATTTATCAAAGGAAATTTGGCAACGTCTGAAGGTTCATACGGCGTTTTTCCTCAGCACGGCAGAGTAGGTATCAGTTTATCTGAATTGTACCAAGAATACAAAATGAATACAGGATTTTATACAAATCTGAATGAACATAACCCGAATTCACGAAATTTCTGCTGTTGAGCGATGACAGTTGATTCTCGTATTCGGCTGCCAAATTCAGCGTGTGATTCCAGCACTATTTGATGTTTGCCATGTGTCGTATCATAGAGACACTCATGTTCTCTACCGTGCCAAGGAAAAACGCCGTATGAGCCTTTAGACGTTGTCAAATTTCCTTAACTAAAGGATTACTCGAGAATTACTTAGATTTACTGGAAAAATGGTGAATATTTACTTTCGAATTCAGATAATTTTGTTCGCAATTTGATCCTACTTATCCGAAAATTTCACGGAAAAATATCCATAACTTGTCTCAAAAATACAGGTTTTATCCGGAGAAATTTGGCAACTCTCGAATGTTCATACGGCGTTTTTCCTTAGCACGGCAGTTCTCTGATGAGGTGAATGAGGCGTAGAGTCTCCTCGCTGGTCCAGATTCCGCAACCACCTGTTTTCTTCTCTGTGGGTGCGATGTCACCTTTTCCTTTGCGTGTACTACTTTTATCATTCTGGATGGGCTCTGATAGACGGATGGGTTCTGATGATGGACAAATGGGTTCCGAAGAAGAACTAATAAAGCGTATTTTGGTTGATGATCGGTCGAGCAAAAGTGCCGCGGTCGAGCAAACAGGGCGTTGTTGTTGTTGAAAGCAGTCGTCAGAATCCGACCAATCAGAGATGAGTTGCGAAGAGTTGCCCGGATCATAAGAAAATACGAAAAAGTTATCGGCCTATATGAGTTGTCGCTGCTCATAATTAAACCAGACTAGAAATTATTATTTTAATTATTAAACACAAAAAAATTAAACGTTTAAACTAACAAATGACAGGTTTGGCGTTTGGCGGTCTTTCTAATATATTTAGAGGTTAGGCATTCGGCATTGATGCTTGTTGAATGCCATCATTCACATAGGGGTTACTCATGATCCTACTTTTTGTAGGGTTCACTTTTGGCTCCAACGTTTGCAAGAATTCCACCGTCCATCTGTCTGGTGAGTCCCGAAAAAGTTTGATCGCGTCAAAGCAAAATACGAAAATAGCATGATCCACCCATTTTGGTTCGACCGATCATCAACCAAAATACGCTTATATAGTAGATTCGTGTGTACTTTTTCCGGTCACAACATTATTACCTCCAGGAATATTATGATTGAAGAAGTTTTTCGTCACGGCACTAAGAGGGGTGCGGGCATGGACCATGGTGCGGGCTTTTGGAATATTTACTTTTCCATTTAAAGGAGGCTTCCGAGACAAAACTTCGAACTTTACCCCACTTATTTGGATTAAAAACTTTTTATCCTCCATGTTATTAATATTGTCACACGAATTCACGAGAAAAACAAACAAATTACAAATCCAAACACACGAGAGTACGTAGTATTTACATTCAATGAACATTAAATTGCGCGCGATTTTCGGAACCACGTGACCTTCAATCTAGAAATTTACATACTCGCAAAAAATGTTTTTTAACAGCTTTAAAATTCAAGGTTTGGTGTCACAATTATTTAAATTCAACTGGATCTAATTGCGTCACTTCATAAAAATACTGTAGGTGACTGAAAAGAGCATCAACAGAGGCAAAGCAGCGATCACACCTGAATTTTACACAAGAGATAATTTTTTAATCTGACATAAAAATCACACCAATTCGGAAGAAAGACATACCATTACACTTAAATTCGAGAAGTTATAAGACAGATTTATAACAATTTTTAAGGAGAAATAACTTTCCTTGTTACCTCAACCTTTGACAAGAGTTTGCTTATCTTAAAATTTTGGCAACAATTATGATCATTACACCTAACATTTGCGAACGGAAATTTAAAGGAGAAAAAGAGTCAGCAAAGGACTTGAAAGTATTATTAATGGTTCATAAGCTCATGTTTCAAGGTAGTAAACATGGATATTGAGGCGCCTTTTTGGGCTCAATTTCATAGAGGAAACTTTTCAAGAATAACACAGGGAGCAAAGCATCTGCCACAGCAAAAGGGCTTGAAAGCATGAAATTAATGGTTCATGAGGTCATGTTACAAGGTGTTAAACAGGGATATTGAAGCGCATTTACGGGCTCAATTCCATAGAGGAAACTTTTCAAGAATAAGACATGGAGCAAATCATCTGGTGGAAGCGGTACTTCTAGCATACTAAAAAGTTTACAGCAGATGTCTACTGCTGCTAAAGCAATGTTGCATGTGTAAACTGTGTTCCCGATGCAAACGTTGATGTCCTTGTTCGTACCTGAGACAACTGCTGTAGGCTGCTCAGGGAATCCGAATTTTTGATTTTGTAATTTTCAAAAAGTCAATATTCGTGCCGCTTCCTGAGGAGTTTCTTTGCACAAAAGGAAAGCATCCTTGCTTTCAATACGGCTTGGCTTCCATTTCTTATTGACTGGTGTCGATGGTAGTAGAATAGGAAGTAGCAAAAGAGAATTGATCGTTCGAGTTTTTTCGTCTGAAA